TTGCAGGGGAGTTGGATCAGACCGCCTTTAAAGGTTCCTTCCAATTGAGACGATTTTATGAGTGTACCAAATGAGGTGTGCTGTGACTGCAGACTGCACAAAGTGCGGCTGTAGCCTGTATCTGGCTTACAGGGCTCAGCTGAGCTGCTACAACAGGCTTACTTCTTGGGGAACAGCCACATTTAATTATCTTCCTTAGCCTTTCTTCCATCTGCTCCCAGAGTTCTAGGCTCAGCTCTGCTGCAGGAATGTACTCGTCTGCAGAAGCACTCAGGACTGTTTCGCAACGCTGCTTATTTCAAAGGTAGTCAGAATTTGCCAGGTTGGGCTTAAAGGAAACTGTACATTACAGGCGGGCCTCCTGCCCTACTCCCGAGCCAAATTAAAGAAAGACACACGTAACTTACAAGCTTTAATCAAACATTTATTAATGAAACAACACAGACTCAGAGCATGTCCACGTTGTCTTTGGCAGGCAGAGGCAAGCAAGCTTTGTCCCAGTTTTGAATCACAGCCCAAACTCTTCCCCAACCGCACAGGGTCATGCTGGTGCAGCACAGAGCTGGATGCACACACCTTGCCTCCCGACAGGGCTCAGCAGCAGTGCTGCACTGACGACAGCTGCACAGCTTCCAGCTCAAGGCTGACTCATGTCTGCTTGGCACCCAGCACCGGCAGTGCAAGCACACATTTTCCAGCTATCCTCGCCCAGCTTTCTGGCCCCCAGGGCCCTAGAAGGAGAGACAGAAAATGCTGCAGCCACACAGCAGGGTAGTGGAAAATGCTGCATTGTCGTCACAGTTTTGGGTCCAGGACAGGGCTCACTCCTATCTCTCTTAAACTATTTGCTTCAAAGCTTAAGCAACCTCATGACTGACTTTCCTAACCTCTTTATCTGCAGGCATGCAACCCACTGGTTGAGAAACACGGAAGTAAGCCCCATACAAACACTCAGACAGAGACAGTGCCTGTCAGTGCAGATGAAACACTCTCTTGGAAAGACCTTTCTGTGGGCTGGAAATCATACCAGCACGGTGACCCAACAGAAGTGAGGAACTTCATTCTGCATGGATTTCTGTCTCTTGTTCACAGTCACAGAATTGCAGGGGTTAGAAGGGAAGGAGATCATTTAGTCCAAGCCCTGCTAAGGCAGGTTCACCTACATAAGTAGTAACAGCACTGACCCTTTAAAACTATTAAAAAAACCCAGATTTTTTAGAATCATTTGCAATGTGGAAATGTCACGGTCTGAGATCCTTTGCAAAGCTCAAGGTCGCACAAATAAACTGAAAATTACACTTTTTTCTTTTTTTTTCTTTTTTTTTTCTTTTTTTTTTTTTGTCTTTAAAAACACAGTTTCAGCCCTGCTCTCAGCCATTGAGTTCCTATTAATTCCTGCGGTTTTATAAACACTGTCCAACTCTACAGCAGCCTTCCCGTCACCGCTGATGTGTGAAAGTCTGACCAGCCCAGCAGGGGCTCTGCGAAAGGAGCAGCAAAGCTCCGGAGGCATAAAGCGCAGCCCAACACAGAAGGGGGCTGGGAGGGTCAGCGGCTGCCTGCAGAGCAGCACGGCACGCAGCTCACGCAGCCGGTACCAGGCAGTGCCAGGGAAGGAGGCCCTGGGAGAGCTGGCCGTCTGCTGGAGCAGAGGGCTGGGGACAGCCAGGGCCGGCTGCCAGCAAGGCTCCAGCAGCCGCTGAGCGATGGCATGGGCACAGCCGGTGTGCACGTGCGGCTCACGCGGACTGAAGCCGGGTCTGTCCTGCATCTGTGTGCCAAGCAGAGGAATGGGGGTCAGGGCGGCATGCTAAAGAGGAACCTGTAGCATGGTCCAGCTCAGCGAGGCCACAGTGAAGCCCACTATGTGGTTACACTTTTAGAGGGCTGCCAGGGCTTCTAAATTTCCTCAGGTCTACCATTCTGAAGTTTCTGCCAGCGCTGATCCACTTTCCTATGAGAGATGTGCTGAGCTGGTTTGCATCATTTTCTCCTGTCATACATGGTAGTCATTACATCAGCAAGCAGTTCACCAGTGTCTCACCAGGTGTAAGCTCTCACATTACTCCAGCAGCCCTGAATACCTTTTGCTTTTTGTCACCTGCCATTTCAAGCCAGCAGAATTATTATTATTTTTTTTTTCATAGCAGTTGCCGTCTTCATTTCAGCTTCTTGATCAGACTGTTCAGAAGACATTTATTCCCAGTTTTGCTCTGTGCTTTGTCTCTGACTGCTATGCACCAGTTCTGCTTTTGCTTGCAGACTGCCTTACTAAGGTTTCATGTGCTGACACAGCTTTCTCAACTAGCATTTATCACTTGCTCTTTTTAACTCTGGCATTAAAGTTTCGTTTATTCAAACCAGTAGGTGGATAGAAAACATTAGCATGTAGCTAAAAACTGATATCTTTATCACACTGTCATTACAATTCAATTATTTTCTTTATAATACTATCTTAGTACTATCAGAGATTGTCTGCTTTCTAGTAAATACTTCGGTCTGTATTGTTTTGCATTGGTTTGTCCAGATATTTCCCTTCTGACTTGTCAAGTTATGTTTCACATAGGTGAGATGCAAGAGTTGTTTTCTCCTGAGAGTAATCAAATCTTGTCATATCTTGACTAAGGTGCAGAAGTTTTCTCAGCTTTTCAAAGAAAGCACTGAGAACCTTTCCATAGTTCTCCTTTTCAAACAACATAGACCTTTTAATCTATCAGCTATCCTCTTATTTCATTGGTTTTTCCTTTGTTTCACTGGAGAATTTATTTGGGGAAAAATTGAGATCCTTTCATTGTAGCTAAAAGAGGAAAAAAGATAAGAGGGGATATGGAGGTGATGCTATCACCATTCCAAGCAGTACCACCACACTTTTCTATGGGAGAGACCCTGCAGGGAACAACAGAAATGCTTGAGGGCTTGTGCAGGACTTTATCTGAGATTACGTACTGAATTCATCGCAGCTGATCTAGAAAAAATCAATGTTGAGATGGAGAGCATCTCCTCTTTTCTGTATTGTTCTTTCAAAGTCTTTACATGTGCATTTGCATCGTGATGTCATTATGTGCCGTCTGAGAAACCATAAAAAACATGAGGAGATAATGCACTTTCTAAAATATCTCATCCCAGGAGTGAAATTGCTTGTACAAGCACTATTTTCTCCTGCTTTCTCCTACCGAGTTGCAGCTCTCTGCTGTTTCACAGCCCTCCCTACCGACTCACTCCCAGGCCCACTTTCTGCTTCCCCCTGCTGCCAAGCCTCCTCTTTCTCCCCATTTCTCCTCTCTCCCCGGGGCCTCAGAGCTTTTTGTCGCCCAACCTTCGGCCGCAGTCGCCGGTGCCAAGCAGCTGGAGCCGGAACGAACTCACTCCCCCCTCCTGGCTGCTGACAGGGCCGAACGCTGGGGCCAGCTAAACGCTTGCAGATGTGCCGCAGCACCCAGCCAGCGCGAGAGACGTCCAAAGCGTCGGGCCGTTCGCTCCAGACGAAGGTCGGAGCTGCCGGGGCACCGGGCTCCATCCCTTCCCCGCCCGAGGGAAGCGGCCTGCCTGTCCTCCGCCTGCGACGCTCAGACAGGAAATGCCACAAGCCTTGCTAATGGAGTCACGAGGCCTGGCACCCCGCGGGCTGCGGGGGCGGGAGGCGTCGCAGATTCTCGGCCCTGAGGGAAGCGGCGGCGCGGCGCGGCGCGGCGCGCAGCGGCTCGGCCCGGCGGGGGCGGCGCAGCCCGGGGATGGAGCTCCTCCCAGAGTGAGGGCCCCGCGGGCTGCCGCCGGGCCAGGTCCCAACCTGTTCCCGCCGGAGCCCGTGGCCGGGAGCCCAGCCGCGCCGCGGGGCTTCGGCTGCCGTTTGAAATGGGGGCTCCGCCTCGGCCCCCACCTCCCAGCCTCTCACAGCCGAGGGGAAGGGCCCGGCGGTACGGCAACCGTGCAGTCTCCCGTGCGCGGCGCCTGAGGGGCGGGACCGGCTGGGTGCCGCGGAGACGGCGCGACCAATCGGAAAGGCGAGCGCCGTCTGCGCGATTCGGCGGTAGCCAATAGGGACCAGCGGCTGCCTTGTGGGCGTGGCCCGATGCCGAAGCCCCGCCCCCAGCGGCAGGGCGGGGAGCGAGATCCTTTGTGGGCTTTGACAATAAGATGGCGGGTGAGGGAGGCGGGGCCGGGCGTTACGGTTGGCCACGCCCCTTCCCTCAAGCGCGGAGCGAGCGCCGAGGCGGGAGCCGGGCTCTTGCGCTGGGAGGCGACGGCGGTGGAGTGGTGAGTGGAGAAAGCCGACCGGGGTGTGGGTCGCGGCACCGCCTGCTCTCTGTCTCCCGGGACTTTACGCGGGGGGGAAATCGGAGCCGGCGGAGCCCGCGGAGGAGGGAGCGAATCCAAAATGGCGGCGGGCGGTTCGCCGGGAGCGCGGGACGCCGAGAAACGGCCGCCCGTTGGCCGCCGCGCACGCGGTTCCTCGGGAGGCGGGCGAGAGCCCCCGAGGGCCTTCCCCGTCGGGGCCGCCTCCTCCCCGGCCCTTTTCCTTCCTACGCCGCCCTCCCGCCGTCGTGCGGTTCCTCGGGCCCTCCCCTGGCTCCCCCCGAGCGCACGCACCGATGCTCGGCCCCGCCTCGGCCCCCGCCGCGCTCCCTCCCTTGCCTGCGTGCGCCCGTGCTCGCTCCCCGCCCCGGGCACGCCTCCGCCGCCGCCTTCCCGTCCCCGCTGCCCTGGCTCCCTTCCCGCGGCCCTCGCGTGCTGCCCTAGGGGCACCCGGCCCCGACGCCTCCCTCCTGCCTTTGTCTCGGGCCCATTGGGGTGTCCCCCGTCCTAGGAGCCCACCCTGGATCCGGGCACACCGTGCCCGAAAGGGAGTCGCTGCCTTTCCAGCTTCAGGTTTATGCGTGTTATGTCTGCTTCCTCCTAAAAGTGAACGATGCCAAAATCTCTTTCTTCTCTGTTAGCTCCACTGTTAGAAAACGCCTTGTTCTGAAGCAGCCTTGTTCTGAAGCAGCCGGTATGTCTTTTGTGGGGTGTTACCACCTCCATCTGAATGTGGTTCTGGAATGTGTAAGCTGATGCTCCAGCAAGAATTGGATCAGGTTTCAAGCACCTTATTTGTAAAGCAGGCTGGGAGTTTGTCACAAACTCAAAAGCAACATTTTTTGTGAATGACATAGCACTGTGCTTCCTGCACTACTATTCCAACAAACAAAAAGCCACGCAGCTCCCCCTTTTTTCATACTTAGTTATCCTGCAAATAGCCATTGTCTCCTTGACAACTTCTTTCCTACAGCTGTTTCAAACAACAGTTAAGGTTTTGGCACAGTAGGTTTGGGCTTGTGAGGTAGCAGCAGCAGAAGGGAGATGATAGGATACAGCCAGTCCAGATATTGCCGATTGAACAGAAGCAAATCCTGCCTGAAAGTAGTGGGGGGACTTGGAACACCTTGCATCCAGAGCAGCAGCGATCCTGTGGGCATGTACCGGGAGGTTTTATGTAACAGCTGATACCTTTTTGAGTACATTAATATATAAATCAATTGAGAAGCATACTTAGCATTTTAATTAATTCGATTTTAAGGTTAGCATTCTCCTGAGATGAGTACTTGTTGGAGACGGTGCAAAAAAGTCAGGGGGTGGCTGTTTATTTGCAAGGTTTTAATTGAATTTGATTGTGGCTATTAAGGTTAAAAAATTACTAAGAACTTAGGTTCTGAGGCACGCTGACTGGACAGGGAAGAGAATCTGAAGAAATAGTTGCTATGATGGACAAATTTTTCAGTGCATTTATGCTAACAGAGGTCTGTGTGGTTTGTTTATTGCTGTAGGCAAGAACCTAGAATCACATGTAGCAGGTCTTACACACTAACACATTGCATGGGAAAACTCTGTCCTTTAGTGTGCTAAAGTCATAGGCTGGACTGATCTGCCAACATCCCATGTTCTTTCATTTGTGGATGTGACAGCGGTTTTTCTCCAGGTGTTCTCATCAAGGGACCTCTCCCATATCATTCCAGGAGGCAAATGGCCATATTCTCTTCCTCTAAAACTGTCTAATATTCAAAATAGCACTAGAAAATCTTTTCATTTATTATTCTCGTGACTGTATCATCTCTACCTGCAGTTGCATTTTTATTTATTTTGTATGGAAAAAGCTTTGTCCTTGTCGCTTACCCAAGGCATCTGTTCAGAGATTCAAATGGGTTACTGTGTGGAGAGCCTGCATTTCATTTACAGAACGGGCTGAGGATATATCCAGGGAGCAAAAGCTTCGGAATTTCTGTAGCATTATGAGGTGATTGATAGAAATGAGGAATACTGACTAGGTGCTGTGATGTCTCACTGGAGCTGTAGTTCAGGTGCCTCACCGCCCCCTCTCAAACCTGCTGTTAGCTCAGTCTGTGAGAGAATGAGTTGGCTGAGATAGTTTTTGTGATGTGACAGTGCTTTAGTTACTTTAGTAATATTTTGGGGTTGTGTCAAAAGATTTGAGGTGGCTTTTTTAATGCAATATTTTAATATGCAGCCTCTGGAGAAAAACAGATGGCTTTCTGCCCCCCCAAAAATAAATAAATAAAATAAAAAGAAAGGCCTTTGTCAACTATCTCTTCCCTTCTCCCCAGTTTCAAAAACAAGTGCTTTTTCAACAATTTTAATTACCAGCCACAGCAGAAAACAAAGGTGTACATATGCATCCAGTTAACTTACTTATTTTCTAGGTCAACTTCAGTTGCAGACTCTGAACTGACTTGTACAGTCAGACGTGTCTAGAACAGTAGCAGAATTGTATTCATGTTTTTTTCCTATAAGGTATTTGCAGCCCATTAAAATGGCTTTTTTTTTTTTTTTTTTTTTTTTTTTGCTTTAGTTGTTAAAGGAATTGTTGCATGTATTTGATAGTTGTGTTTGGTATATTCGATTTTGTTTTGCTTCGAATGTGTTTTGAAAACTCAGCCTTCCTAGCTAAAACAATTTCTGTCATTACTTTCATTTTTGTCATCTTGTGAAGAAAATCTTAGTCATGAGGTTTCTGTGCTGCTGCTAAAGGAAAATCCTCCCCACCTTTGCTCTTTCAGTTTTACACTTGTGCGTGCACATTCCTTTCCTGTAGATGCTATGGAGATGTGTGGTTCTGTACGACAGAGGCGAAAACTGCACACCTTTGTGATATACTTGCTTTCACTATGCCTTGCTACACATTTATGCTCTTCAGATGATGGCTAAAGATTTTGTTTGCTCTTTAAATGGCAAAGGCACAGGGATAAGGGGGAGGCTGGTCCAAAGGTCAGTGTAATAGCCCAGGACTTGGACTTAAATTGGCAGTTTCCTTCTCCTGTCACAGATTCTGTGCATGTTGTTCAGCAAATCACCTTTGTGTTTCAGTTGTAAATCGGGTTTTATAGTGTCACAGGAGTGCTGAGGATAGAGATGCTGAAGCAATTGAAAAAGTAGAGCTGTGTATGTTTTTGAAGTGGGAAATGGTTTTGCTGTGCATCTCCTGTACTTGCCTGATGCCTTGCTTCCTGGTACTTGGTAGGTGCTGCCCTAACTGTTACTGTATGGACTCTTGCTCAGTAGCATGGGAGAAGAGGAAGGACTCCATCAAGCACAATTACTGGTATGTAGCTTTTTCTCCTTACGTGAAATAGAAATCTTTTAGTTTTGAGCAGATTCAGAAACGAGGTGATGAAGAACTGCTTTTTTTTATGATGTAAGATTCCTATTAGAAGTAAATATTATAATGGGAAAAGTGATTGAAAAATTCCAGTGAATTCTGTGAAATGCTTAAGAATAAATTTTGTTGTTTTTTTGTTGGTCTTCTACCAGCTTGCGTGTGTGATGTACTGATGTTTCCAAGTTCTACACTACATTCAGTTATTCCATAGGTGTGCCTTAGAAGGTATTTAATTGTCAAACAGTAGATGGTTAAAAATCAGCTTAACATTCAATTACAGTTTTATTATTCTTTTACAAGAAAAGAAGTTGAAATAAAAAGAAATTTGAAACTCTGTGTGGAACATGTAAAGTCTGATGACATAACCAACCCTGTGTGATCATTAGGCACAAAAGGTGTTTCCTGGAGGTTGTTTCACATAGGGTGTGTATGTGTAAACATTGTAAATACAACATTACATAAAAAATAATACAGGATATAACCAGGTACAAAGTTTTAATGCCTAACGGTCTGGGAAAGGCACTATCAAGTAGGAACTTGGGTTGGTTTTTGTTTTGTTTTGTTTTTTGGTTGGAAATAATACAGATATGTTGAGTTACAGGAGAAAACTTTAGAATGAGACTTCAAAAGCGTTTAATGTACTGGTAGTCCGTATATAGCTTTTTAGAAGTTCATTAAGTAAGACCTTAAGACAAAGTTCATATGTTCCATCTCACTTGGGTGCATTTTTACTGAGACTGAAAAAGCTGAAAGAGAGCTCTCTGAGAACATGTAGCCCGTTCTGTAGCTACCAGAAATCAAGGTAGAGATTAGGCTTTACCAAGAGAAGCAGAATAAACCACACAGCAGCAATAGCAGTTTGGTCTTATCAGCTTTGAGCTGAAAAATGTTATTCTATTTGAATCACTGTGTATAAAATTCCCAAAATGTTATGTAAAGAATTCTGAGGACAGAAGACTTGAAAGGGACATAATGAAGGTGCATAAATGTGAAGATTAGGTGCCGGCTTTCTTTTGCATCCTAACTTTTGTAAGACTAAGTGAAGTGACGTCTATTGCATTTACTAACAGTTACTTTGTATTTAAAGAGGTCAGCCGTAGTGCTTCACTTGCATGGAGCCTGCTATAAAAACCAGCAGGGTTCAGATGACAATCTGGAAGCTGCTGCTTGAAATTCATACCTTGATTAATTCTACAGGTGATTTTTTTAGGTGGAAATAATCAGAAGCCTGCATGTGCTCCAATCATTTTAGCTAGTGAACATAAAGTAAGAATGCAAGTTTTGCTTTTTAATAGTCAGCTGGGAAAGAAGTACAGAAGCCCATACAGAGATGAATCTGTCCTTATTGGAATTGCACAATTGATATTGTAACTGAGCTGTTCATTTACTCACTTGAGTGAGGGCACATGAAGGAATGCTTGAGTTATATGAACTGAATGTGTTACACCCCAAGTGACTAAACTTAACCTTTTCCAGTACACTGTCTGTGAGATATATCTTTCTTTTTGTTACTACATTAGGCATATTGGTTTTCCACAGGGGTCATATATTTAAAAGATGGTGTGCTAGGTTGTATTTTTATTTCCAAAATTAGAGGTTAAGCATGCCAGTAGAAACTCAGGAGGAGCGAGGAGAAACTGCCTCTCCAGTAGGTGAAATACAGCTGTTGAGATGGTCGCCTCTGTGCGAAGCAGCGGCTCCTGACTTCCATCAAGTTTGGCATTTAATGGGAACCAGGAGCTGGGAGCCCGTGCCTCTCTCGGGTGCCTCTCTGCGAAGCCATGACTCATGGACCTGCTCACTCCTGGTTCCTGAGTGTCGTCTTTGGGACCCTGTCCATGTGTTCCTGACCCCTGTTGTACCACAATGGCCATTCTATAACCTGGTATGATAATTCTGATGTTTTTATCTTCAAAGAATTTGCTGTTTAGTTTTTCTGTTTTGTTTACATTTTTAGTCTTTTGTTTTTCTGTCTATTGAGCGTTTATGTTGTACAATATTTTATTTTTTTTTTTAACAGGACACAATGTTTATGCGAGGACTAAAAAGAAAATGTTTTGATGGCGAAGAAGATATTGAAGGAACTCTGGCTGGTATTAAGGCTATTCCTTCATATAATCTTCAGCGACAGTCACTGTTAGACATGTCCTTGGTTAAACTTCAGCTGTGTCACATGCTGGTCGAACCTAACCTTTGTCGTTCGGTACTTATAGCCAACACGGTACGCCAGATCCAAGAGGAAATGACCCAAGATGGGACTTGGCAGATGATAAATATGCAGAATACAGGCCAGGCATCCGTGGATCGTCTTGTTTCAACAGATATCCTCTGTCGCTCATCTAGGGAGCAAGCTGAGGGAAAGCATGTTCCAGGTTACAGTACTTTCAGTAAAGACTTTGAGGGTGACCAGGCACAAGATAGTTCAGAAACTATGTCAACAGCTTCTTCAGTGCAAGCTCTAAGAAACCTGCAAAGTAATGTGTGGGAAATGGAGAATTCACAAGAAAATAAAGGAAATTTTCAAAAATCGCTAGATCAAATATTTGAGACGCTGGAGAACAAAAGTCCTAATTCAGTTGAAGACCTGTTTTCAGAAGTTGACAATTCTTACTATGATCTTGATACTATGTTAACAGGCATGATGAGCAACACAAAAATGGGACACTGTGATGGGCTAGAACCGTTTCCCTCTCCAACAACTACAACTTCTAGCTCTAATTGTAAATCTGATCTTAACGAGCTTGATCATATTGTAGAAATCCTTGTTGAATCCTGAAACTCCTTGTGTAGGAGATAAAGATCTGTTAATGGAAGAAAAAGACTCAAGAAAGCTATTTCCACAGGTTGTTCTATCAAATCTGCACATGTATTTTACAAATATCTATATATTATATAGATATATATATTAAAAAAGCACTTCATATTGCAAAATAGTGTTAACTCCTGAAGTTAACCTGCAACTTGTAGTGTAATGATCCAATCTCTTGTCCACTGAACTGTAAGTACATACGGTAAATGTTTTTAAGTATGTGGTCCAAGGCTTTCAAATTTGGGTTACTTCTACAAATTTGTTCTAGCCTTTGACAGAGGATATGCTTAGTGAGAAGGATTCTCTCATCCTTCTTTTTTTTTTTTTTTTTTTAATCATTCTCCCACTGAAAATTGTAACAAACACAGTGAGAAGTTGGATAACTGGCTTCTCATTTTCCTCCAGTTTCCACTCTGCTACACCACATAACTCCTATAATATTTGCTGCTTCTGTTCTAAGTCGCTACATGGCTCTTAAAGAGCAGTATGCAATAGTTCCCATTATTCTAGCTAGCTTCTTCTGGTTCTTGCTACATTTTTTTACTTTAAAGATAGTTTTAAAGTGTTTATTGGTGTTTAGAATTTTCCAGGTATTTTCCTAAAATATATTTTTACTACAGATGTTGTGTCAGCTGCTAACTTAGCAACTTTTGATCATATCTGCAGTTGATGTATTTTTTGAAAGGTTTTCAAAAAGGGATGTTTTTTTTTTTTACTGTGAGCTACCCGATGTAGTTCAGTAAAGTGTATGTAAATGTAAATATACAATTTTATACTTTACATTAAAATGTAAGAGCTGTTTTCATGATTCCGTTTTATAGAGTAGTACTTTACTAAATTGAGAATTGTACTATTATGCTTTTTATACCCCATATACTTGGTTGTTGTTAGAGGAAGAGCTCTGATCCAACTAGAGACAATAACATTTAATTCATTTCAGACCGCATTTTTTCTTAACTACAAACCTAAATTACGTAGGATTTTATTTATGTGTATTTATATGTAAATGTCATCAAGTGAATTGTTTGTCACTGAAATCTACCATCAAATATTTGTTTATATGGGTTAACTATCTTGCACTAATTACTACAAAAAGTGTTACTAGTGGCCTTTAAATCTCAACTGGTATGTCTTCATCTCTTGTCATGATTAGTATGCTCCACTCTTACATGAGTTTCCTCTTGCTTTTTTTTTTATTTTTAATAACAAAAGATAATATAACATGGGATGGTGTTCTTTTCTTCAAATACTCACATTCATGTGAGTGTATGTAATTAAGCATATTGTTACGAGACTTTTTTTTGGGGGGGAGGGAGGGAAGAAGTGAAGGGAAGGATGCATAAAGAACATACACTGTATGATTTTTTTGGTAAAGATAAAATGTGGCAAGAGGCCTGACCGAGCAGCGAGGCAGGCAAGGGAGAGAAGATTGTTTGATTTGTTTCTGGAATGTTTTAGCCAAGAGGAAGACATACACCACTTTCTTAGTTGTTTTTTGTAGATTTGAATCCAGCAAGTCACTGAACTTGAAGAGAGTGCATTTCCGTACCTGGCAGCCTATCCTTTCTTACTGCATACTGCCTTTTTCAGATTCTCAAACGTCCCCAAAGCAGAGAGGGTGAGGGCAGGAGGATGTTAAGGGTATTCTGGTGTCACCTCTGCAAAAATACACTGCTGGGCTTAGGTTTTCAACAAGTGATTCAGAAGCATCTGGTTTGGGGAAAAAATGACATCACTTGCTAAATTATTCAGACTTGATAGTGGAAATTATATTAATCTTTACTTGCCATAGTAGTCAAACATTGCTTCCTCAATTAAATCTTCATTAATAGCTGTATTAAATATGAAATACCATACAGACACTTGGCAATTTCAATCTGTGTAATACAGCTGGACCTAAGAAACACAAAGTACTACTGGGCATCTTAAACAAGAGAGACATCACTGATAACTGAAAGGTGTGGTAGTATAATATCATAGTCCAAGAGGATACAAATAATGATGTAAGGTGTCAGATCTCCCAGGGAAAGAATAGTCTGTTTTATTTGTCAGTGTTACAGTATAAGAAATTACTTCTAAAATGATGAATCCTCAAGAAAACATGCTTGATGCTTTTCTGTATGGATAGACAGCAGATGCATTAGAATAAAATAGTCAGACTGCTTCACAGTTTTACAAACGAAACAGGAGTGATGAGTTGAACAAATAAATGCCTTCCGTGCCTCTGGAAACTTCCCCCAAACTGCTCTGAACTGTGTTGGTTCAAAACTCCAAGTGTTGAACAACTGTGGGTTTACCCCACTGTTCCTTTTCCCCTTCCATTTTTTTGTTAAATAAGAAATTACAAGTTTAGATATTTGAATCTTTTCCCCTTTCCTCTTCAGTATGCTTCAGTCTTTGTGTATGAGGTGGGAGTTAGTGTGAGCATTCATGGCTTTTACACTGTGTGTGTCAAATGCACACATAAATGAGTGATTGCACCAAACACGTAGTCAGCTGCATTCCTTTGCTGGGGAGGCCATAGTCAGCGAAGAGTAATTTGTAGGGACTGCTTGGCTTAACAGGAATGGTATTAGGTAAGTATGTGGTTATGTCGTTAACTATTTTAAAGAGAAATATGTATTCTGCTTTATTATGTTCTTAAGACTTCTGCCAAATCTTATGTGCTCTTACATGTCTGATGTCTTGGCTCAAGCGTTGAGCAGGTCAAAGAATTTATGTTGCTGAAACTTGCACAGTCACTCTGCAGATGTGTACATAGAGCTGCTCTGACTTTGCAAGTCAGTCTACAGTCAGCCTATTGTGTTTTGGCATGCCTCAGACTAACTGCTGCTCATTCTGTAGCTTTACTTTTATAAAAAAAAAAAAAAACTAATTTTATTTTCGTGCTCGTATTGTCATTTCTTTGTTAGTGCAAATAGGTCATAGTTAAATATGCTTCACTAAAGGTTAATAAAATATTTTGCTCTGTATTCCTGCCTGATAAAGAAAGAGAGCAAGGATGATAGAGTGCCTGTAAGTTGGTGAACTTTAAATTGCTTTCTTTTTTGTGAATTCTTATTCCAAATGAGGAATGTGATATTTGCTGATGGCAATTTTCTTAATTTCTACGTGGAGATGGAAATTAATTGAACCTCTGTTAAGGCTTCTCTAAGGTTCTCCTACCATTTCTTGTGGCCTCTTTCTTTTATGTCTCCCTAGGGAAAAGGACCACAAAACTTGCATGACAGTCTGTGCTGTCTCACAGTAAGCTGTATGTCTGAATGACATAACTCTGCTTTAGACTTGCATAAAGGAAAGTACTTTCTAGCTAACACACATCTGCTTCCTTCTCAGAACCCTGAATATCTGTCCCCTCTGTCTCGTCATGCGTAGTTTTGTTTCTCCTCTCTTTCAAGAAAACTGGGATATGTGGAGCTTCTGGAGTCGGGGCATTTGGCAAAATGTGTGAGAATTGAGGCTGAGGTGGCTTACGTACCACTTTGCTATTTTTATTTCTTAACCCCTTTCTCTTCCACAGCTCTGTGAATTTATTTAGGAAGAAATTTTGCATAGCTCTCTGAACGTAGTCATGTTTGCATAAAGGACAAATCTGGTAAACAAGGAGGGGATTGTTTATTTGGATGAAAGCTGCCATTGCAGATTGTCTGAAAGGTACAGCAACACCTGTGGCTTTCATCCTCTAGCAGGTTAGGGGTGCAGACAGTCTGCACTCACTTGTGCTGGAGGCTGTCCTTTGGTCATTTCTTGAAGTCTCAGGTCTAGACTGGTTTAGCAGGCATTTCAAAAAGCATTACTGTAAACTGCTTGATAGTACAGTTTTATACTGTAATTATCAGTCCATTATGGATGTCTCATGTCTCGGGATATTGATGTGACTGCGGATGTATGTTCCCATGTAACCAAACAAACTTGGTCAAAAGGCAGCATGAAAAAAAACATCCTGTCTTATGCTGACACTTTCAAAAGTGAGTTGCGTTCAGAGTGAAAGTATGCTTATGTCTCAGGCCTGCGATGTATAGTCCCTTATGCAAAAAAACCATGATTGATCATGACAAATTTTGGTTGCTCATCAATTCCTAAATGAGTGTGATTTCACAGTATAGGAAACGTGACTAATACTAAAAGTACCAAAGCACCAACTTGTCTCTAATACTCCATAGCAATGAAATATACATCTTAAAAAATTAAACTATAAGGGTTTATTCCAGCTCCTTTAGGTGTCTCTTACAAAACTGACAGTTAATTTTTTTTTTTTTGCTATTTTTTTTCAAGGAAGTTTCACGAAGAACTGAAATCACTGGATAGTTCAAGTTACCAAGGAAGATATAATTCAGTTGCATGTAGTGGCTTGACTTCTTTATATAGTCAGTGGAAAATAAGGAATATTTTGTCTGAATTGTAGCTTTTTTTTTTTTTTTTTTTTTTTTTTTAATACAATTATTCCTTTGCTTAACTAAGATTCTGCTAAAAATGAGTGCTTTATGACCTGAAAAATTACTGTGGTAAATGTTGATGCACGACCAACTTGTCAACGGGAAAATATATAGCTTGGGGCAGCTTTCCACTGCAGGGGAAACAGGCAGTAATTCCAGCTGTCATCTTTTTAGGGAGGAATAATTGAAGATACAGGTGATTACATGACTTCTTGCAAAAACAGAATTAAAAAGAAATTGTAAGAACATGTAGGCTGTACTTGGAAGTCCCCTAGGAGCACCATGTGGGAAGTAGCAAGTAAGTACTGCAGGAGTAAGTGTTACAGCAAAGGAGCAGTGTATTGCAATTCTCATGTGCCCCTCACAGACAAATTTTGGAGATCAAGAAAATGTAATTTCAGTCTCTGACTGTGCAAGCTTCCAAAACAAGACTAAGAAAGATACCAGAAGAGTTTAATACTCACAGGAGAAAAACAGCACTTAGAGCAAATTCACTTTTGTGCTGAGAAATGTTTGCTTCCGTGCCTCTGCTTTGCTTGAAAGGGAGAAGGCACTTCTAGCTGTTCTTTGTAGCAAAACAGAATCACGGTTTACTTAAAATCTTCAGTAACGTGTAATGTGTGTTTTCAAGCACAACTTTCTACCATTCTGGGATTTTTTTATTATTTTTATTTTTTTTGGACTGGCATTAAATATATGGTTAATCAGTAGCTCATAGAGGCGTAACCAACAGAAGTAGATGGTGAAACTCATGAGGCTTGGTGCACTCTTCTTCCTCACTTTGCCATGGAAGTGTGGCACACCGTGATTGTTGTGCAATTCCGCTTCAATTAGCTCATTAATTGCAACCAGGTCTTGTTGCCACATGGAGAAGTGTGCGGGTGAAAGACCAGAAGAAAACTATTGTGCTGAGTCTGGTAACTGGGATAAAATAGAGACATTTTTCAATTTCCAGGCAGAAGACCAGCTTCAATTAGAGCATTAGATGCAGAGTCAATTAATCACAGACGTAAATCCATAGGAAAGCAGTCTGCATCAGTTCCTGCCTTCTGGGGCTGTTACCAACTAGCAGCCTAGTGCTAAGGTAAGCGGGGGAGCAGAGCCCAGCGCTCCTGTCAGCCGGGTTACGTACAGAGCCCGGGTTTGGGGTGTGGTTTTTCTGCCTCCTGCAGAATTGAGTGTGAAAGCCACAACGCTGCTTGTGAGATCGGTGTCCTGCCATGTGCTGGGAGGGGAGTCAGACTGAAAGGCCATGTTTGAATCATAAAAAATTCATGTTCTTAAGTCTTCTGTTTGCCTTTGGATTTCAAGCAAAATGGGAGAGCGCGGAGGACTTGGAAGACGTGCTATCCCTGGAGAAAATACGGGCTTCTGTCAGCGTTAGGTCCTGAATGGGGGTGGGGGATGGAAGAAGGCCCCGCGGCCCTGTGGGGTTGGCCTAGGCCGGGCCGTTGGGGTTTCAGGTGGCCCTGCTGGGGCTGATGACGGCTCCGACCGATCACTACGTGGAAGTCAGGTGTTGAAATCGGCCTTGCACAAGCATCGTGCCGCTGTCACTTGATTACCCAAACGCTCACGGAGAGCAAATAGAAAACGGCTGCGAGCGCGGCCAAAAAGCTCTCATCTGTAAAGGGAGAAAGAAATTGAAGTGAAAAGGCGTTTCGGAGCGTTTGACGCGGCGTTATCAGCGGGCCGAGGCGCGTGCGCCCGCGCGGCAGGACGCAGTTGTGGGAGCCCCTCCTTTAAACAGGGCGATTTCTGTCAGCGACTTTAATTTCACTTTATTTAGGTTTAATAACAACAATAAAAGGAGGGCAGAGATGCGGGTTCCGCGCGAAGCCTGGCGGCGCGTTGCTGCTCCGGCCGGGTCCTAGCGCTGCGGGCGGAGCCGGGTGCTCCCCGCGGGTAGCGAGGCGTGCAGCCGTGCCGCGTGCCGCCCCGTGCCTGCCTGCCCCCCGCCCTCCGCCCGCGGCACCCGGAGAGCCGTGCCGGGAGACGGGTGGGTGGGGGGGACTCAGTGGCGCCCGCCTCACGATTGGGCGAAGCCTGCGGAGAGCCCCGCCCACTTCAGCTCTTCCGGCTGTCTCATTGGGCGGCGCCGCGGGGCAAGCCGGAGCCCAACCCCCCCCCGGGCTCGCGGACCAGTGAGAAAATGGTTGCTGGGCAGGTTGTGACGGTCGCTGGCCAATAGGGACGCGGCCAGCTGGCGGGCGCCGTGCGCGCGGCGTTCCACTCCCCCCCCCCCCCCACACCCACACACACACACACACACACACGCATACCCCTCCCCGCCGCCACCGCTGTGGGTGCCGCGGGCGGAGGGAAGGGCGGAGCGGAGGCTGCCGGGGCCCGGCGGGGGTGGTGCCTCCTCCCGGTCGGAGTCCCAGCCCCGCCGAAGGGAGCCCGGCCGGTAGGCGCGGGAGGGCACGGCAGGCAGGCAGGCAAGCAAGCAGGCAGGCAGGCAGGCAGGCAGGCGGCGACGGAACGGGGACGGCCGCTCCGCTGCCAGGTGAGGCGCAGGGTAGGGCCAGGCCGGGCGGCGGCCCGAGGGGCTGGGGGAGGCGCCGTGAGGGGGCGTAACGGCCGCGCGGGGGGGGGGGGGGGGGGCGGGGGCCCCCGGTCTGAGCCCCCCGGGGGGAGCGCGAGGAAGGGGCGGGGGGGCGCGGCGGGCCCGGAGGGAAGCCGGGCGGACGCGGGGCGAGGGGTCGGAGCGGGCCGCCGCCGGGCCCGGGGCTGGAAGTTGGCCGCGCAGTTATAATTAGCCGCTCGAGGTCCGCCGGCGGCAGGAAGGGGGAGGAGTGCAACTTTTCGCAGCTCGGAGAGCCCGGGGGCGGCTCCGGTTACGGCCGGGGGGAGGTGCAGGAAGTAACGGCGCGGCTCCCGCCTGCTGCCACAAAGGCCGAATGGTGGCGGGGCCCGGGCCGTGCGGCGCCCTCAGCGCTCTGCGCCCGGCGAGGAGTGCCTGCCGTGCGGCTGCTGCGTGCGCTGCGTACTGCTCGTTCGCTACGTGGGTTGTAAGATCTGAGCCCGCCAACCTTCCCTCTGCGCTGCCGCTCCGTGAGATCGTGCAGGGGAAACGCTGTAACCTCAACGGTTGATGCTAAAGGGATTTGTTAAAGTGCGGAATAAAAGAGTTAAGTTTCATAACTCCTTGGACTCCAGCTCCTTCCAGCAAAAGGTCGGGCTTCTGAAATACAGTGGGCAGAGCTCTGGGCCTTTCTTATCCCGAATCCAAAACTTTTAATTGCTGCAGCTTATTTGTTAGGTTTTTTTTAGAGGGGTATTTAATACTGAAAAGAATTAGCACTCTGAAACGTTTGTCCTTTCATCTTTAATGTGTAGAAAATGCGGCCAGTGAATGTTCCCCCCCCCCCCATGACTTAGCAGCTACACCTCAGAAGATCACCACGTTGACCTTTTAAGCTGTTGTGCTTGCAGTGAAACAAGAAAAAGACTATGACTTATTTGTCTCATTTTTTTGGTTACTTATAACATTGGTCTTCTCGTGATTCGCTGGAACAGGTTGCCAAGAGAGGCTGTGGATGCCCCGTCCCTGGAAGCATTCAAGGCCAGGCTGGATGGGGCTGTGAGCAACCTGCTCTAGAGGGAGGTGTCTCTGCCCATAGTGGGGGTTGGAACTGCATGATCTTAATGGTCCCTTCCGGCCCAAATGTTCCTTCATAAGGAAGTCAGCTTCTAGAAGTGGGAGGGCAGTATTGCTGTACCTATTACTGAGGTTACATGGAGCATTATCAGCCATGAGCACCTCTGTGCTGTTTCACTGCACCTTTTCAGTTCCAAGAAACTGTGAATGGAAGAGCCTTTTGATAGGATCAGGCTGGGAGTTGCTGTCTAAAATCACATGTATTCATTTACTGTTCTGTCTGGCTAAATACGATACCAGCTTTCACTGCATATTATTTTAAGCAGAGTTAAGTAGCATATGAACTGTTGTTCTTTAAATACAGTCCCCAGTGATCATCTGGATAAAACTGATCTTGGATCTTTTGGTAACTGTGAAATAGTTGGAATGCTGTGGGTGGGCATCTGTACGTATGTGTGCATACACACAAGCACATTAAGTATAATGCAGAGGGTAGGCTGCCAGCCTTCATAAGGGCATTACATCTTGCAACTAAGGAACTTGGGTTCTCCGGGTGCAGCTGAGACCACAAGAACACAGATCATACAATTCCATCTGCACGTCCCAGCCTCTTCCTCAGATCATTGTCACTTCAGCCTTTTCATGTCCCCCTGTGTTTCCAGTCTTTGGTCTAATCCACAATTTAATCCGTGTGGTCTGTTGGCACACTGCAGATGTTGCTTTATCGGAGTTCTGATGAAAATGATGCTGTGCTGATTACATGCAGTCCTGGGGCATCCTGCCTGTTATCTACTTGCAGTGGTTCCATTTGTGCTGAAAATGAGAGGAATCAGGGCATTCCATAAAAACTGATCTCGTTTTGCAGCCTCTAAAAGTTAGGAGTTAATTCTGAAATGTACTTCACCATTCTCCTGATGTGTGATTTCTGATATTACTGCAATTGGAAGTCAGCATTCAGTAACCTGAAGAAGTACCAGTGCATGTTCTTACCCAAAAGCCCAACATGTGGAGGATCAGTGCTCTTCTGTCATTTTGAGGAAGAATACATAATTTTCACGTTTCATGTCTTTGTAGGTGGAACTACCAGGTCCTGGTACTGCAGTGCATTGATGAACTCTTGTTTTTTCGTATTCCAGTTTCACTGCTTTAGTAGGATTTAGCACAGTCGTTCGAATAGCTCTATTGATTTGCGAGCTTAATCTTTCCTGTTTAAAAATATCATATCAATTAATTTTTTTTTTTTTCATGTTTTTCCCTTTAAGTCACATCATCCTACCTCTGTGGATGGCCTGGACCCCTGAGTAGCTGGAGGCTCTTTGGATGACCACACTTTATGCAAAATCCGGAATCTTCCTGCCTGGACTCCTCTCTCTTTTCTAAGGGTATCTGCTTGTATATTTTTAAATCTTCTGAGCATATTCCATGTTCTCATAATCAGCTGTAGGTGTTATTTTTGTGGGCTAGAATGGTAAACTGAATAATAAAGTTAAAAATTGCGGTGTATATATTTCAAGGCCAGGCTGGATGTGGCTCTGGGCAGCCTGGTCTGGTGGTTAGTGACCCTGCACATAGCAGGGGGGTTGCAATTAGATGATCATTGTGGTCTTTTTCAACCCAGGCCATTCTGTGATTTTATGATTCTGTGATGATATAGTATAAAGTGAAGTGCTTTAGGCTTTGTTTAGGTGTCCAGATTTGACACAGGTAATAAGCTGTAAATTTTGTTTGTTTTGTGATTTACATCTAGATCACTGTAACCCCAGAATATGTCAGTATTGAGTAGGTGAATACATTCAGTATCTCGGTTTGAAGTTAAAGATCATGTAAGAAAAGAGGATTGATAATTATTCACTTGATTACTGGTTTGTCCTCACATTGAAAGTTCTAAGGATCATTTGCCTCCCCAGTCCTTTTTCCTTAGGTGGAACTGTGGTTGTTTGTCTCTTGTTTGGTTTCGTGTGTTCTCATTTAATTATGTTCTAGTTTTATTATGGGAGTTCGTTGATTTAGTAACTCTTGATCAGGTGTTAGCTCTTACCATCTACTATTGATCTCCAGTTTAAATGATTCCTGTCTTCCTGCTTAAAAAAGAACCTGGAAAGCCAGCCAAACAAAAAAAACCCACACTCCACGCTCCTGAAAAATATCTGCTAGATGCTTCCTCATTAAAAATACACACCTGTGAGCTTTGCTTGTGTGTGTGGAGCTACAGTCACAAGGGAAGAGGAGAGTAATGCTGGTGGCTCTTTTGTTTAGTTGTTGGGTTTTCCCTAAGTATGAAGAATTGTATTTGCTTAACAGTAGTAATGCCTGAGTACATCTATATTATCAGCCTGTAGTGATAGATAGCAGTTGCTAAGAATGTGTTTTGTTTACAGTTGTAAATTGCCCAGAGCTGCATGTTTGTACCTTGTGGAAAATGTACTTCACAGTTGAGGGTCGTCTTGTCCAGAGTGAGATGTTGTGCCCTGAAACTTAGTGTGGTGTAGCTTTTAAAGCAAAGCTCTTATCAGCACCAAAGAAGGGAGTAGGGAACTTAGGAAGATGTCCTCCAAATGTAGGAATTAGTATTAGACATAATTAGACATAATATAAATAGATGGGAGGTTGCCTTCATCTAAATTCTAAATAGAAGTAAAACTTGCTCATAAGTGCTTTGTAAACATAATTTCAGTCCCTAAAATATTACTGTATGGTAGATATTTGTTCCGTTTCCACAAATACTGAAGGGACAGTGGGAAGGTTATGAATTCCACAAAGTAATTCTGTGCTTAGCTCAGTCTTCCTCTCACTTCTTTCCTGTTCTTAATTAATGAATACTTTTCAGCCTATTTTTATTTTCTGAATACAGGAAAAGATGCTAGGTGCATCCATGTGTGGAGTGTTCTATTTTTGTTATTTGTTGGTTGTTTTTTTTAAGTCTGAACAGTGGCATGTCTTGGGTCTGTGTTCTGGTTAGCAGAGAAGTAGCAGGAAAGACTTTGGTGTTAATAGATCAGGATTTCGTGACCCAACGTTGACCTCAGTTCTCCCTTCTTTGAGCAGCTCTGTTCTGGCCATTTCTAACTCCTGTAAAGAGACTGTTACATAGGACTTTAGGTATGGGAGTAAGCTGGTAGGACTGCACTCCTCCCTATATGTACATTTTTAGCCACCTCTAGCAGTTACTCATCTTGGCTAAAACGGGGCAGGGCGGGGAGGAGGGGACTTAAATACATCTTTGTGTGTTTTACAGTGTATTCTCGTCTGGGTTACTTTCTTACTCTCCAGTCTTTTCAGGCATTTAATCCTCCTGCCCCGACTTCCCCTTAATTTTCAGTCGCAGCCGGGCTGTGGCTGTGTGGGGATCTCCGGCAGCTCAGATAGGCTGCCCTGTGAGGTCTGTTGACAGCTTACTGTGTTATGTAAGTCGTGTTGAAGTGATCAGTGTTAAGTCCAGATGGAGGGAAAGGATTTACACTTTTAACTCTACCTTCAGTCGTACCTTTTTCCTTTGCAGCTTCTGATAGATGCAATACTAGCCAAGACTCCACCCACCACTTAATTAAAACTTAATGAAGTTGTGTTGCCTGTGCTCAAACACGTGTGTGGTAGGGGAAAGGTATCATTAGAACCAGCATGCAGCGTACGTTGGATAGTTCTGGGAGATTTCCATTGGCTGTGGGGGTGTTTGTTGTCCTTTGTTTCCTGCAGATGGATGCATGCTTGTGGCGTGTGCCTGTGGAAGGAGGGCAGGAAATCAGGTTATAGCCAGCTTTAGTCAGTCGCTATCAGAAGTCTGCAGTCAGGCTGGCTCTACGTTTGGTGTTTTGGATGGTTATGTGCCAAAGGAGACTTTAAAAGAGAATTACCTGTATTATAAATAGTGAGGAGTCTCTAATATTGATGTGAATTCAAGGTAGTACAGTTGTCCTACTGGAAACTAGGCAGGCAGCTTTCACTTAGGAGGTGCTTACATCTGTTCAAATCTAATATTTCTCTCACAAGAAACAGTCATTTATCACCAGAGACAGATTAAGGCTGAAAAACTTAACACTGCATGTGAAGAATTAAGCAAGTTTGAATTTAATGATAACCTCAGAAGGGAAGCCAGAAGGGACTGGTGAGAGGAAATAATTTGGACCTCCTGCATGGTGCGGGCCAAGCACTCTGTCGGTGATCTAGGCATTTAAACCTACTTAGTGGCAACAGTAATTCTTGTGTAGTTAACTGCAGTGCTGCTTTTCTGCATGTCAAGTTTGTGTTTATGCAATTTTGACTTGCCAGCCAGCTTTTATGTACTTATTTTTTGAAACTTTTCTTCTCTTGTCTAAAAATGAAAGCTCTGGGCAGTTCCACATTCTACCTGTTGCTCACCTCTCTCTTCAAATGTTGTAGGGAGGTGAGGAAGAAGAAATGTAGTGGTAGTTTGCTTAAATAGAAGTAATGGAGAGTTTTCACGTGCTGTGTTCTTTGTGGCTGTTTCCAGCTGCACTTCCTAACCATGTGTCAGTGGCAGCTGCACTGCACTCTCAGACCCCGTGACAGATGGAGCTGTGTTTTTCATCTGAAATGGTGGCACGAGTCCTGCATTGTCTGCGACACGTTGCAATGTGAATTTTTCTTGGTAGCCTGGAATGTTTCTTCTGAGTAACTGCAAGCTCTGAGCAGGCCTGTGTGTTTGCTGTTCTCTGCAGATCTGCCAACCCATAACGTGCCTCTTCCCTCCAAGTTTTTTTCCAACTTGGGTACAGTGTAGGGTTACAGAGCATGGAGGCTTCTGCTCTTCTTAGCAGGGAGGAGTTTCTATTAAATGGACTCCGTGGAACTGAAAGTAACTGAGGAGCCTGCTGTCAGGGGCAGAATTTCTGTGCATGCCATAGATGGAGAGTTTGGCACTCCTAAACATTAAATTCACTCTGTTGGGTTTTTTTTTCCACAAAATAACTTCAATTAAAGAGTGTTTAGTCCTAAATGGGCTGTGGCTCTGTTTGCATTACTGTAATGAGAGAGGATGAGAAAACACCAGAAAACTTGTTGAGATGCTACATTCCTTATTATGCTTTTGTGTTTTTTTTCCCCATAACAAAAGATTATAAAAGTTGGATCTTTGAACTTTTTCTTAATGTTGAGGGAAAGAGTGGCTTACAGTGCTATCATAAAAGGGTGTTGGTTGTGATTTTTGGTTTGGGCAGTGCTGCAAGAGGACAAATTGCATGTGAGTACAGAGCAGTTTGTTAAGAATATGACCCTGTCAGAAATTCTTATGCTCAAAAGTAAAGCAAAAGACCTGATAAAATGTGGATTAGCTGGTAACAAAGGGACTCTGTATCTTTTGTAGGTCAGCAGCTGAGTATGTTTGACAAGAAATTTCATGTCTCCTGTAGCAACCATGCCACTGGTCACCTCTAAATCCGCTGTACTGGTGGCACTGTTTTTTTATTTGCCAGAGACTTGAGCAGCCTTGCAATTAGGCAAAAATCAAAATGATCAGGCAGAATTAATGAAATGTAAGATAGGAGTATGTTTAAATCGTAATAATCAGAAAACTCCCCCACACACACACAAAAGGCTTTTGCAACATGCGGAGAATGGGGAATCTGTAAAATAGAAGCACTTGAAATTGTTTCTTGCACTTAGTTCTTACAGTTCAAAGTACTGTCAGACCCGAGCTTTGTTACGTATGTCAGGAATACTGTAGGACACTTCTTTATGAAAGGAAAGGAGGGTGTCTCCTATGGGAGCATAAAATACTTAGTCTAGCCTACTGTATGATTTGAAATGTTAAAATTTGGGTTTGAGTTGTTCTGTGAAATGACGTGTCCTCGTGCACGTTTGCATGCTCTTTAAGCTTGCTTACAGAATTGAAACACTAGCACGTTTGAGATGTCAGAGGTTAAGATTGCTAACAGCTGTAAAGTGGCAAAACCAAGCATTCTGAATGTATGAACCATCAGAATTGCTGTTCCGTGCGTGCTCTGTATTTTGTTCCTTTGGGAATAGGAATTTTGGTCTGCTTGAGTAGAGAATGGGGGGAAAAAATCCAACACAGCTAGTATGTGGTGTGTGGGAATGATGGTGCTTAGCAGACACAGAGCTGGTTTGATGTGTGCTTTTGTTCCTTACAGGAAGGGTATGTGGGCATGCCTTAGGTTGCACAACCTTAAATGCTATTTAAGATGGAGAGTTAGTGATTTCCGTGTGATTTGTCATTGATAGGCAGACGCTGTTTCTTCACAGTATGCCACGCACTGGCATATCTAGCAACAACTTTATTGTAAGGGCCTGTGTAACTTGTAGTTTCCCTTGGTTTGTGTACGATGTTACCAGTTGCAGGCAGTATTGCTGATAGTTTTACAGGCAGTGCCTATCGTGTACGTGCACATCCCCTTTTAATATTTGGCACTTGAACTCTGTACGTGGATTGGTGCTGATTTTGTTGTAGCCGAGTGCTCAGTACTGCCTGGCTCTGCTTGCTTCAGATGGGGTGCAGGGCTGGGGGCAGTGTGGGCACATGAGTAGGCACACAGCATTCAGACACCTTATTTTTATCAAGAGGTTCAGCTGCTGCTCTGGTAGTTTGGCAGAAAAAAAATCAGAGTAGAACACATTCTTAAGCTTACAAAGTTTAAACTTATATTTGAAGCTTAGAAAAATTGCAGCTTTGGTAGAATTGTGAGAAATGAAAGATTCACTTAATCTTTTATTTTAATAGCAAAAGTTATAGCTAATTGTGTTTATTTTTCAAGCTACTTACCCATTAAGCAAAAACACATTCTTACAACAGGCTTAACTTATTTAGGTGTGTCCCAGAAACTGTGGGTATGATTTAGAAGTTGTAAACATAAACTGCTCTACTTGCTGTCTGTTTTTCATGCATTTCTAACTGAGAAGAATGCCTGCTCATTTTCTGTTCCTCCAGAGGAGCTGAGTTCTCCAGCAGCCTTGTCCAGGCACGTGAACGTAGCCATGGAGCCCTGCGTTGCTTCCTGCAAATCTGGAGAAATCCCAGAAGTAAAAGAGGCTTTATCCTGCTGCCATCTCCTTGTTCCCAAAAGTCTAGCAGCTGGCAGCTGCGGCCATCAGCTGAGCTGCTGCTGGCAGTGCCCAGTGCTCACATGAAAAGGAAGCTGGGAGGCCCTGTGCAGTGTCTGGATCTTTGTACGTTCAGGATCTGCCCTTGATCTGCCACTGAGTGTCTAATGTACAATTGCTTAATCTTTTAAATTGTTTGGGAGTGAGGTCCCTGTATTCCTCGAGCACATCAAGATGTGTGTAATCAGTATTTTACCAGTGTTTACTGTTCACTACTAAACTTCTGTGTGAAAGACTCCTGCTGGATATCCATAGAGTTAGGTTACTAGCAAGTTGTGAACTGGTGGCCACTGGTAATGGTAATGATTCTTTGAGCTCTGAGACACTGCCAGATTTCCTCTCGTCCCTTAGTTAAACTGCTAAGCAACTATTTCCTTTCATATGGATGTAAGACTTTAAACTTCATTAATGAATCTCATATGCTGTGTAATTTTAATGGTAGAGGTTAAAAAACACAGATAACCTATAAAGTTCTTATTCTCATAGTAGAGTTGAAAGTAAACATTAAAAATGGGAATTGGAAGTTCTTAGGCTGCTTTTTTGGACAGCAGTTACTCTATTTCTAGTGTTTTCCCCTTTGAAAAAATGTTGTGAAACAGTGCAGGTGGAAGGTGCCTCTTCTGAATTAAATTCTCTTGTCTGGGGTTTTGTACTGTCTTTCAGTGTTCTACAGCATTAGAATTTTAAGTCAGCCAGTTGCTGTGGACTTCTGAAGGTGCCTGTTGAGATCTTACAGAAGTGACCGTGTTGGCCAAGGTTAATTCAGAGTTCTTCTCTTTCAGGTTCATGTTGGGGAGAGGCCTAAAACGCAAACTGAGTGACTATGAGGAGAACATGGCTGGTCTCTCTAGTGCCTTCGATTCCAGTCGAAATCTGCCATATCCAGTTAAGAGGCAGCTGGTGCTTAACATGTGCCTCACCAAGCTACAGACTTACAAAATGCTGGTGGAACCGAACTTGCACCGCTCTGTCCTCATAGCCAACACAGTGCGGCAAATTCAAGAGGAAATGAGACAAGAGAGTAATCAGCAGGCAATTACCGTCTGCACTGGCATTACTCCTAGTTCTCCCAGCTACACAGGGATGGAGTCATCTGGGATTTCCCTACAGCTGCCTTCAGGTATTAGTCAGCAAGAGTCTAACTGTTGTGACTTGAGGTCTGCGGAGGACCCGATTGAAAATAGCCTGCTGATAGTTTCAGATGATGATATGTCGTCTGCTATTTCGTCTATTCTGAAGGATTTAGACTTTGTAGAAGATATAAGCCCACCTACTTGTCTGGTTCCTGCTGGAGATGAGCAGCCAAAGTTTCCAGAAAATCCCGGTCTAAAGCTAGAAGACGATAGACAGGATTTGAAAGGAGCCGAATGCGTGTTTGGTTCCTTTGAGATTTCCAATTCAACCAGCTACTTGAAGGATCTGGCAATAGATGACATTTTTGAAGATATCGATACTTCAATGTACGATTCAGACTTCTGTTGCCCCCCGCTGATGCCGCCCAGACCACCACCTCTTGCTACAGAAGAACCGTTGAAGACCTTTCCAACTTGTAATTCTTCTTCAGCAAACAACATTCAAATATGTAGAACAGATCTGAGTGAGTTGGACCACATCATGGAGATTCTGGTTGGGTCCTGATATTTGTTTTACCCAAAGATACTTTTTGACTGCCGCTTTCATTTGGTTTCAGGATAAAAGCCACTGGAAACGTTGTAAAGAATTATTTAAAACACAGCTAAAAATAACTTGTCTGTAGTGAGGTTTCCTAAATAATTCCAAAACTTTTAAACCTGGAAGGTGGTGGTCCTTTTTTCTTTTTTTTCTTTTTTTTTTTTTTTAAGAAATATTTATTTATCAGAACTGTGCAATCATCTTTTTTTCCCTCCAGGGTACATGTGGAACATTAGGCACATACCCTTCTCACCCCTCATGCCTCTTTCAATAAACTTTTTTATGTGCAATTTTTAATTTGTCAGAAGAATTTACATGCAAAACAAATTTCATATGAGATGATCTTTTACAAAGCCTCCACTTTATTTTTAATATCAGAGTCTATGCCACGTCAGCATACGTCGAGTTGCGTAGTTGGATTGAATGGATGCAGACACATTACTAGAGATGGGTATATTTTAAAAATGAGACAACGCTTTGCTTTCTTTTGGTCGGAAAAGCAGATCAAGACACTTGTCAACAAAGTCTCTTGCATTTTCTAAAGCATTCAGAACTATTTATTTTTGTAAATTTTATAGTCTTTCTACATTTTACTACGTTATTTCATCATAGTTCAGATATAATGGACTTCTAGTTGGATGTGTTTAGCACTACCTCTGAGCTGAAATGCTTTAACTCTTTTCCAGTGCTTCGTCTAAGACTGCAGATCTTTTTGTTTCTATTTTTTTTCTGGGGGAAAGTACTTCTAACTCATCGAGCTGATCCTCTGCCAGTGACCCAGCTGATTGGTGAAATCAAGGGTATTCGATGTTTAAAAACTTTTAAGTATTTACAAATGTAATTTATATGTAGATTGTGCAATTTAACATTTTTCTGTCAGTATTATGTGCTTAGATTTTGAATAATCTTGGCGTTCTTTAAATTAAAACTTAATATGTACAGGTAGCTTTTTAATCTGTTTTGGGAAACACTGTCCTCCAACCTTGCTTTCACTACGAAGTTTAAGATGATTTTTATGTGCAATATTATTTAAAAGAGATCCACGTTTGTATGCCTGGCATTGTAGAAAGAAACGCTTCAAACTTAAAGCTTCTAGCACCTTTGGAGGATACTCAAAGAGTCAGCATTGCTGTATCCTTTGAGAGACAAAGTTGAGAACGCTTCTCGCTGCACCGGTGCAGTTCTGAATGCTCCTGAAACGCTCGCGAGGAGGCGGTGCTGTGGGAGCTCAGGGGCTGCCTGTGTGCTTCCAAAGCGTTCTGGTGGTTGCTAATGATGATTATGCTGCAGATTGTACTGAAGGATGGGGGAAGGAGGGGTTTGTGTGCGTGTGGCAGGTGTGTATACCAGTATATATAAGCGCACTCGTTAACTGAAGATGAGATTTGCAGTGAGAGCTATTTCTCTGTCAAGCAGTTTGGCTACCGTGTTTCAGATTGAACTGAGGTCTGTATTTGATCCTTGCTGTTGTCTTCTGAAGTACACACTTGCACACTAGTGGTTGATTTTGGTTTTTTGTTTTTTTTTTTGGGGGGGGGGGAGTTTTGTTTTTTTAATGACAGAATTCTACTTTGCTCTTGAAAGCTGCAGCACCTGTCTCATAAGAAAATTTGTAGTGGTAAAAGCTTTGCTTTGGTTTTATTTTTTGTTTGTTTTGTTTTTGTTCTGCTGGGACTCTAAATGAACGGGGCATATGCAGAGAAAGAAAACACTGCCCAGGTGTTGCATCTCAAAAGTTGGAGCCCTGGCCCTGCTGAAGGTGCCAGGATGTCACCTACTATTTCTAGTCTTAACTGATGCTGTAGCACACCTACCTTGTGCAAAGATCTCCATTTCTTACTGTCACTGTGTTAACAGTGAGCTGCCAATACAGTTTGGTATCCCAGACCAGTGGAGAACCAGTTCAGGTCACATCCTCACAGCCATCTGGGTTGTTCAGCAACCGAAGGGTATAAATGTATTTATATGCATATAATGTATTGATTCTAATATAAAACTTCTGATCTAAAGTATTTTGAATTGCTGGATAAAGGGATTTGTTTGAAGAGTGTATAAGTAGTTCTTGAAGAGGTACAGCTTCAGAATGTACACAGATTGTGCATTGTGTATAGACTACTCTGGCTTTTCCTCAGCCTCTACTTTTGTATTAAAGATATGCCTGAATAAATCCTTGAAATATTAAGGGCCTTCTGCACTGTGATGAAGCAGAGTTATGGTTAAAAATGTCTTTAAATTCAGCGACGAGGAATAAAGCAAAAAGACTGCATTTAATTTCTTCTTGCATTTGAAAATATGGAATGTTACTATGCAGTAAAGGTATTTTGGTATGAAAATTATATCATGTAGCAAATAGCAAACAGTTAATAAATCCACTTACCTTGCAGCCCCCACAAGGAGACTTGCTTTTCAGCATTTACATGCTAAAAGTTTTTTGTACACTTCAGACATAGATTAAATTGTTGGTACATTTCATCAACAGTACAAAATGTGATTTCTGTTCAATCTCTTGCCAGAAAGCTCTGTTTCCAATTGGTTGCTTGCATCACAGTGCCAAGACCGTAAGCTGGTATGTAATGCAGTTGGGTTATGTATGGAATTATGTGCAAAGGGAAGTTTTATTATTTTTTTTTTAAATATGCACAAACTAATTTTAAAATCCTTCCATGTAAAATGAAGTTAGAGGCTAGTTGTGGTGGACCTATTTATTGTATGTTTGGAAATAAAAGCCACAGTTTTGCAGTTTAACCATTTATATTTTGAAGTCTTCAGTATTTCTTTTATAAACAAATGACCTTTGCCACTCTTCAGTCATCTCTCTCCTTTCAAAGATGTGACGTTTTTCCATAGGTCCCTACTGGAGATTACACTGATGGCTTCAAGTTTAAAGTTCTCTGCTCTCTTCCTGTTGTCAACCACTAAAATGAAGTTCACTGCAGAAGAGTGGGAATCCCTCGTCTTAATGGTAGAGCTACTGACTGCAGCTTGTATGTGAGGCACTCCTCCTGCCTGTTGCCACAGAGGCTGCTGAGCACAGCCTGATCAATGTGAGTCTGGAGGGGACTCCCCAGAAACGTGCTTTTGGCTGTGAGGGCATTGCAGCAGCACAGAGCCGCTCACGTGATGGGTCCTGGAACTCACTAATAGGAAAGCTGCCTTCGTGAAGGTACAGTAGTGCAGCATATTAAGAAAATGAGGGAATCAGATCATGCTGAGACTTCAAATGTAGTGAGAGGTTTCTCTATTTGCTTACCTCAGTTTTAGCCACTCTGAAGGCTCTAGCTTCAACATGATGCACAGTGCTGGTATAGCATGGCTGGCAGGGGAGGTGTAGGCAGCACTTGGAACGCTCTGGTTGGATCAATGTTCTGTGTACTGGGAGATGGAGCAAGAGTAATTTCCAGCTCACACAACAGGGAAGTACACACAAGAAGGTAACCTGTGCATGAGTTCTGCAAGGAAAATGAATTATAATTAGTTCCCAAACTAATTTTGAGTTATTAAAAACCAGTATTAGGAGAGTTAAGCTATTAAGATGCATCAGTGAGGTACGTATTATTAAATCAAGCATTTGTGGAAGTGGGCAGTTGTTTGGCTTTCAGGTATTTATCTAATATCCTAGTATTCATCAGTATCTTGCCTTTAGTGAAAAAAGAAAAATCTGTAACCTTCATTCCATACATTTTTCCCTCATTAGAACCCAGATAGAACTGTTCTGGACTGGCTGTGCTTTGGCACTTAAGGTGAGCTGGATGGTTGTGGGGTTTTTTTGCTTTTTTTTTTTTTTCCCCCTTCACTCTATGAAGGTAAACTCAAATCCAAATGGCTTTGTGGATTTAACATTTAATTTGAATGCAGCTTGTTTTTAGTTAGATTTTCTCTGCTGTTGTAACTGGACTAGGAATAAGTATTGGTGGGCTACTCCCAAGTTCACTCTTAAGGTCGGTCTATAAATGCTGTATCTTATAAAGTGCTGTAATCTGTGTTCACCTCTGACTGCAGCACTTTGGAGTGAGTTAGAGCAGGGCCTCCTGCCCGTAGACAGGAGCACCCCTCATGTGGAGACAAATCTACAGGGATCAACGCCAGCATCTAAAGCTTTTTTAAAATTCATATACCTAAGAAATGGAGGGTCTCCAGTATACTGAGGAATACTTAGAGTGTATACTCACAGGTGTACTCATACTGGGGTCTGGATTGCTGTTTATGTTATCAAATTATTTTAATTTGGACTTCTAAAAATAAGCTCTAGCAGTAGGAATGTGATGCTTCAAAGACAGAACCTCCCCAGACCGTGCCTCTCTGCTCTGTTCAACTCTAAGGATTGATTGTTGGAATAAGGGTCCCTAAGAGATTGCAGCTTTGAACAGAATATCATTGAAATGTTTTCAGTCTTTCACAATGGGATTGTTTGGGGTTTTTTTTTGTTCTATTTTACTCAAAACTGTAGACAACGTTCCTCCTATAGAGGAACCATTTTTGTAACCACATCTCTGATTTGAACTTTGTAGAACTTTGTTCTATGAATATATTTTCCCTCTAGTTTCAAACAGGAGGAAAAATGCATTTCTGTCCAGCTCTGCAGTGTAAAACTCTCACCTTGCTTTAGTTTTCATCTTTTCAAAACCACGAGCAAACGCCAAGCTCTGTGGTATTTACCTTTCACAAACGCAGAGTAGAGCGACAAGTTTATCTCATCAAAACTAGAGTATTTCACAGTTGGGAGCTCAAAAGTAAGATTGGAAGTGATGAAAATCGTAGCTTAAAACACGCTAAGTTTTGAAGCTTCTGCTCCCTGTATCATTTTCACAGAACGAACACCTGCTCCGACTTCATACAATTGTGTATTTCAGGAGTTGGTGAGTGGCGATTGTTAGCAGGCTTGGCTTCGTGCCCAGGAAGGCAACAAGGAAATGACAAAAGGAAATGAACAGAGAGTATTTGTGCAAAGCGCATCATAGGGTTTTCCGTCACCCCTTGTTTCCAAAGATAAGAATAGAAGGCAAGGCTGCTCTACAGCTGAAAATGATCTACGAACAAGTTTGGAGAGGCCTGTCTCCCTTTCTGTGTGAGTATCCCCCAAACAGCTCGTGTCCTAGTTCTGAGGCAGGCAGCTGGGACTCCACAGACTTGATGCTGAATTGAATTGCTTTACAATTTCCTATCTGTGAGTCCTTTTCTTTGAATAAATGAGCTCAGACTGAAGACAGGAGTCACAGATCTTCTCTCACCTGTCACGTGCTGCAGCACTCAGGTAGCCCAGAGCATCTGTCCACAAAAAAAAGAAGCTGAAACACAGAGACCATCATCTTTGGAAGGCCAGTAGTTTTTTCCATGCTGAATTGTATTACACAGGGCTGAAATTTCCCTTTCCCTGTCCCTTAGACAGGGCTGCAAGACTGCTTCTGTGACTGAGGTTTATGTATTCACTCTTCCCCTGGGGGAATAGTGCAAAAATTCTTTGATACATTGATCTAATGTCAGTGAAAGCAAAACCTGCAAAAAGATAACAGGAACACACTAAAAAATGCCCTCTCAAGAACCCTCTTTAGGGCCATGCTTCTCTGAAATATTAAAAATGAGATTTTATTCTTATAATTGTTTTCAATACCAACCTCAAATTTCTATTCTTAACTTATTGGCAATTTGCTAGCATTTACTGAGTTTGTTACTACAGACCACTGACTGCACCTTTATGTTTCTGAAAGACTTACAGGGGAAATTCAAGCTGATTTCGAATCCAGTGCTAGGTGCAAAAGTTCACCCTGCTACTGAATGCAGTTGGAGTCCTCAGCCCAGCCCTGCAGAACTCCTTCTGAGAGGGTGGGAAACTGCTGAGCTGCCTGCTTTCAAACAGCACTTTTCCAAAGGCTCTGTTAACTGTTTAAGAGGACCACCGTGCAGTTTGTTTCATGCTAATGGCATTGAGGTATCATATGCATTACTAAGATAGAGCAACTGCAATTGCCCTGCTGAACAGTTTGCTGCATGAAGAATCAGAGTCTGGCGGAGTTGTGTGGTATTCTTAATTCCAAGAGTAGAGAAGATGCATCATTAATGAACCAACTTAGTTCAGGAATATCAGTTTGCTCCGTGTTGCAGTGCTTCAGCATTTTCTTTAGGATGAGCTTGAATGAGTTAACAACTTCTTTAAAAAAGAAAAAGTTGTACAAAGTTCCCATATTGAGAGTGGCTAGAACAGCAAGCTTCAGCAGGTTTAGGGCCATGGTTTACAGCACTGTGTGGTACAAATCCTGCTGTTAAGCTGTGGCAAGCAGGCCTATGTGTGTATGTCTGCTGAATGAATCCAAGAGGGCCTGACACAATCAGCTTCAGAGATGCAATTTATTTCAGTTAGCAACCAATGCCAGGACAAAACATTTTCAATCCAATCGTTCCACTGACTACCTGTATTACCACAGCAGGCTCTCACAATGCACAGAAGCTCTACCTTCCTCAACCCCAATGAAAGCCACAGGCTGCAGAAGGCTCACTTCATTGTGCTACGCAGTGGCAAAGCAGCAGATCTCAGCAGATTCAGATTGGACCAAACAGAAGAGATGGTGTCACTTCACAACACACTTGAGGTGTGTTCAGGTTTTGGCATGGAAACCAGGTTTTTCAGAGGCTTGAAAGGTCAGTAATTCCAAAGAACAGTCCAGAGGATTTTTAAAGTGTGATTGCAGCTGGATTTACTGTAAGAAAGATGAATCAGCAGCAAAACTTCTCAGGACAAAATTACACCCTTGACTTCATAACTACATGAGATAAATTCCTTCTAATAATGTAGCTTTAGGTATCTCCTGTACAGTAATAGTAACTTTCCTAACGATCATCTGCAGTCACCAGTACAAAGCCAGTAAGAAAATGCATTCAGTTCAAAAAGAAGGAAAACAATTAACAAGTGCATTTGGTTCAACAAACATCGCTGTTGAAAAATTTCACGTTTAGGTTGGGTGTACTGAAAATGTGCTTCTTCCTTGGGATTGTTATATACTGCATGTTCCCATTTGATGATGTGGTTTTCAGAAACAGGTTACAGGTGAAGAGCTGATCCTGTCGGGAATCTTGCGATACAGAAAGCTGAGTGAAAAATTAAAAGCAAGTTAATATTTTCTATGCTACATTAACTTAATCACGTAGCATATTTCAATCTGATTTTAAGACAGACTTCATAAAATCAGCATAAGGGAGAAAAAAAAAACCCACATTTTTAAAAAGGACACAACTAGGAAAGTAAATGGAAAAGATCTCACTGTATGAATTCACTTGCTTCCAAATTAGGGTGAGCAACTTATGTTTTCTAATAAGCCTCAGTGAGACACCATGCAGCAAGGCTTGTTCTTTCCCTTCAGAATAATTTGTCTGTTTACCTTAACACTGTATTATGAACCTTTCTACTTTTACTCTTCCTGAATTCACCTTGAGCCACTTCTTTTCATAAGTTCTCCCTCTGTATTTAACAAAATTCCAAGCATATGTCTCTGCAGAACTGAATTAGGAAGGAATACACTCAAAGGTCTCTTCTGTTTTCCTTTCTGAATCCTACAACCTATCTCCTAAGTACAGAACATACATCATACAGCATCCAGTACAGTAAATGGAATAAAACACTGCAATGAAAATGTGCCTCAAAGTGCATAATCCCACAGCAACAGTAATTGCTTAAGTTAATTCTCTGTTGAAGATGGGATTTTAGGTTTGAATGCTAATCCCAAACACTGGTGAAAACAGAATGCAACTGATTCATTTAATTTTTTTTTAAAGCAATGCAGAATGACAGAATTGTCCTCCAGGTTGCATTACATGAAGGAAACTGATTTTATAAATGCCTGCTTGACTGAAGGCAAATGCACAGATAACAATTCCCACTTTTGTTTCTCTGTACGTTCTGTAACAAAACAAAAATATCCCTGCAATTGTTAATATCAGTTCTACGTTCCTCTTTAGATAGTTCCTGTTTTCCCCAATAGTGGAGAAACCAAATCTGACTCTTTCTGAATATGTGAAATGCAAGCTCAAATGCAATTTCTTTATAATGAACCTTGTTCCTTGTGTCTCCCTTACAATGCACCTTAGGAGCAAGCCACAAGCATCTCTCTGTTCATCACATCTACCCTTTAACACAATTATTTTCTTCTGTCATTTTCTGACATACACCCTGACAGTATCTTAGGTATTGTTGCTCCCTCCCACCCAGTAAATAGTTTGACCAGCAGACCAAGTTGCTTAGCAAATAACCTTGCGTCTCAGCATCCTCCACATTGTATTGTTTTGCATTTGGAATGTCGTGTTTTACCTTTTCTGAAGCAGTCAAATGGGTTTTGATGCGTGAAATACAACAGTACATACATACAGTCCTATCAGGACCAAGCTGTTAAGCCAGCACATATGCTCTAACAGCTGACTGCAGCACAGATGAACACGTAAAATATGCTGTATGCTTCCCTCAAGTACTTATGTTTAGAGCAGTTCTTACCTTGGTCTGGATCAGTGCTTTGCAGCTATTAATACTGAATCCGTCAAATCTGAAGTCTTCATTATCTTTAGCATTTGATTCCTCAGTAACGTCATTCTGGCTCTCCAGAAAGTCCTAAGAAAGCAAATTTACATTTTTTTTACTAATGACTATCTGATCTTAATCTGAAGAGAAGTTTCCTCTCAAACAACAACATCAAATTCTACTTTCCGAAGCTGTATCTGTCATGTTTCCCTGGCACCGAAACAATTCATTGGCAAAAAAGATACCCATACATGCGAACCAAATCATGACTTGAAATTTAAAAATTGCAATTTCAAAATTAAACTATTTCTGAATAAAATCAGCCCTGGCTTAAACTGGAAAATATCTGAGAAGTCAGTATTGTTAAAAGCAACGCAATGCAAACGTCTCTATGGGTGAGAAAAGGACAGAAGGGGAAGTTAGATGTTGGAGAAATGTCTCCCATTTCCTCCTGCTAGATGACAGCTCCTGCAATTCGGAATTGCACACAGCACCGCATCATGGAATGAAATCATCAACTGGAATAGTTACTCTGAGAAGCACAAACAACTGATTCATGCCATCTAAATAACCAGGTTGAACACTGAACCATCCCCCATGCCTTTATCTTCCCAAAACAAGAGATTAATCAGAGACATTTGAGATTTTCAATATTGATAGTTTGTTCTCGTTTCAATTTAAAACATATTCCTCTCAAGTCTTGCACAAACAGATGGAATCTTCTGAGGAAGAGGGAAGTGAAACACACTTCCAGTTCATATGCAATAAAAGCACCCAGCGATTACTTTAGCAGCCTCACTGATTCAAATCCAATTTTCACTTAACAGAAAGATATTAGAGACTGACATCTTTTTCATGCTCTGAGGAAAAAAAGAAAGCCATCCAGTACACACACATCTGAAAGCTATTTCTACATTCATGCCTGAAGCTGAACATACTATCTAATGCAACAGGGTGCCACAGAGCTGAGACCTCAGCGTAAAGGTGATCAAAATTTGATCCCTACACAATTTCATTCTTACTGACACACAGTGATGAGAAAGCATGAGACCATCATTTGAAAAGGCTCTCTTTAAGAAACTTATGACTCATCCAGATCTCGTTCCTCTTGTGTTTGCATGTATAGCTTACATAAAATCCAACCTGCAACCAAAAGCTTATACTGGCATACTGGCAGACCTTTGTTCAATTACCATTCGATTTGTATCTATTCCAAGGACACTCAGGAGGTTTTCTTGGCAATGAGATTTACTCCAGGGATGTCTTAATCTGGAGGTATTATCTAAGTCTCTAAGAGTTCTCCATATGTTTCCAGAATCGATGCTAGGAAAGAAAACACAGGTTGAGGTTAGATGGCATACAAAGTTTCCAGAAGACATATGTAATTCTTTCTGTACATACAGTTGTGTACTAGCCTACCTTTATCTTAAAGCTATTTCCACATTCGTTCAAAGTATCAACCCAACACACTAATAAATTTCCATGATAATCAATGGAAACAGCCAACATAACTGTATGTTGAGGCTTCTCAGAGAAGTGCATTAGAAGCACGTCAGAGTTTGTTACATGCCCACAGTTCATACTAATCAATTGCTTCTGTAAGGTGGGTACAGAGTTCAGCCCTATTAATTTTCTACTTTTCATGATCCGTCCCTCAGACCTCTCTCCTCCATGTCAATCATACTTCACTGCTGCAACTTGCTGCTATTTAACTTGCTGGTACCTGATCTGGACACATACATACTACGAAACAGAGACCATTCCAGCTGTCCTGAGAGTAAGTTAAGTGATACTAACTGCATTAACACAACCCCAGGAAAGAAGTTGGATGCGCCACAGCTTCTGAAGAAAATCTGCTTTAATGTGAAAAGTGGTCACCACCTGAGAAAAGTGGGGAGGGAAAACAGGCGTGGGCTGTCAGCAGAAGGAGCAGCAGAGCTTCTGCTTCAGATGATGGAGAATTGAGTCAGATGTGTTGTAAAGAAAGGACAAGCAAACAGGAAGAACAGGCTGCCTGCTGGCTGCTCTGGCATTCCAGAAGCTGAGTCATAAGAAGGAGCACCGACAACAGGAAAAACTGAGCAGAAATTTGTACTTCTGATATATTCTCTAGCTTGCTTTCCCATGGCTAAAACATAATCCATTTCCTTGACCAACACAATACATAATTGGTAAGATCTACACACTGAAGGAGCACAGTGATTAAAATGGTTCTTAAGTTTGTTACCAATACCACAAATATTTAAATTATAAACAACATAATTGTTTGATTACTGAGGAACTTTTTTTATTATAATTATTATGACTAAACTCATTACCAAAGTTGATTATTTGTAAGTTCAGGAATCCCAACATCTTCATTATTCACATCAACTACTTGATCCAGGCTTCTTATGCTCTCACTGGACTGCGATACAAGGACTTCTGGAAAGCCTGACTTAAATATACCCTCATAGCAGTGGTCTGCCTAGAAAAAAAGAGAGTTTCATTTCATATGCTACAGATTGGCAACTTCACAGCTCATGACAGAACAATGTTTCCACTGATTGTATTATTAACTGCATTTAAAATCTGAATTAATATTAATAACACAGGGAGACTGAGCCCATAGTTCAATGCTTTGAGTATTTACTTATGATTAGAGGAGAAAAAGGAAAGATCTGAGAGTTTCTGATGAACCTTCCTCTGTAATGTCACAACTGCTACATGCTACATTACAGACTGCTTTGCCTACTAGTAGTCAAGTCTCCTCCTCAAGAAATTCAGTCCAGGCCAAAAACAACACATGCTCACACGTCAACTCAAAGCTTATTTTGCTTTGCATTAATAACAATATTTTTACCACATCTGATGCAACCAAGTGTAACATAACTTCTAGTTACCTATAAATACTTGCACTGCACAAGTCCACATAAAAGCTGAGGTCACTGTGCATCTGGATGCTTGCATTTGCACCAAACATTTTCCAGCTTATATTAAGAAGTTTCGTCTGATTTACAAACTCATTCCTCTTCCAGCAGTGATAAGGAGGTTTGCAGGACAGACACGGCCGTGAGTAATCTAACCTCATGTAAACAGGACACGTGGAAGTAACAGGGTTATCCAAGGAGCAGGAAGGGAAAACGTGCGTAACTGACATCCTATCCTAAGGGGATGTTGTTGTGCCATCTCATCCAGAAGCTTTATTTCTTCAAATAAGGAGTTAGTCAAGTTTTCTAAATCAAAGTACTTAATCGCAGTACTTAATCTGCAGCGTGACTGCAGTCCAGGAGCAGAGATGCTGTGTGAAAACTGGAGAGTGAACCCAGCCAGCTTGTTTTTCCTGCCTGGCAATCAACAACCTGATCTGAAAAACGTAAGTGTGGATACTTTGACAGGTTGGTTTAATCGCAATTCAAATGACTGAAATAAATTGAGATATTTCCAGTTTCATTATTCTGAACTCAGACAAATGCAGTGAATATTGGAAGTCCTGAGGGCGTGCACAGCCAGCAGAGCTGGCAGAGGATTTTGTGCTTCTGAGCATGCTCCCAGAAGTGCAGCGTAGCCCTCACTGCCATCCCTGAAATTCAGCCCTTACTGAACTGCCTTTCTTCATGGGTGACTGCAGAGACACTCAAAAACTCCTGGATAAAACCCTCCAAAACTCTCCCAAAATATCACAAAACTTTAAACTGATTTGTAAATTGCCTTAGTGAACTTATACTATGTGGAGGAGAAAAGCGTTTGAAAAGCAGAGTTCCATGACAGAACAATTGCAGAAGAACTAACAAAGGAAAGCAGAGATCTGTCTTGTTTGTCATTTCTTCCTGCAGCCTGTGATGTTGCACACAAGCCACTGGAGTACAGCTTATCGAGCCAGATGAAGAGCTCAATGTACAGGAAAACCACAAGATCTTTTCTGGCATTAATTTTGTTTTTATTACTGTCTATTTCAGCGTGTGTTTTAACACAAAATGCAGGTAATTTTCATTTAACTTGCAGCTTTGTACTGATGATAAAAATACAAATGCGAAAATTTCAAATCTGCTCTCTGAAAAAATCCTCTATATTATCTCAGAGCACTTTCTTAAGCAAGTACAATCATTCCTCTTACAATGGCCTGAATGTAAAGGACACAAGAAAAATCCTCTGAGTCTTGGGTTTCAGCCTTTTCTCCCATGTAACTAGCAATAGAATGAGAGGGAATGGCCTCAAGTTGCACCAAGGGAGATTCAGGTTGGACATCAGGAAATATTTCTTCTCTAAAAGAGTGGCCAGGCATTGGAATGGGCTGCCCAGGGAGGTGGTGAAGTTGCCAAGTTGCCAAGTGAAAGAAACATTTAGATGCTGTGGGGAGGGTCATGGTTTAGTGGGGAATATCGGTGGTAGGTGGATGGTTGGACTGGATGATCTCAGAGATTTTTTCCAACCTTGGTGGTTCTATGATTGTAGGCAAAGCATCCTGCTGCTGCAAGGAAACGCTCAATGTTTTCATTTTTAAGTGGGGGACTCTGCTCCTGACTGTTATAATTTAATTAACTGATGCAATAGATAATGGAGGTCAGACCTCTGACCTCAGACGATCTCTAGATTCCTTCCAACCTTCTTCTATTGACCATACAGAAGGGCTGCATCCCAACCTGAGGAGTTTATGATCTCAAACAAACAATATAAAAAGCACAGGAATGAACGACAAACTCCATGTGTGTTCTACTCCCAAAGAAATCTCCAGCAGCAATGCAGCTGCTTCTCTATCCTAAGAAAAGGACACCTTAAGAATGTTAACTCTGCCTAAAGTTTCAGCTCATGTTGGATATTTCCTTTTGACTTTAATAAACACGAAAAAAATAATAAAGCAAAGGCTACAATTAGATTAATGTGTACAACTTCTAAGAAAGAAGCCATACAATCTGTTATATTTCTGCCCTGGTCATCACATACTCTGCTTTTTCAGCATAAGACTGCATGTCTGAAATTCCAACCCTAGAATTTAACTTCTGTTTATGCATACCAGCAACTCATCACCGGTTATGTTGTGATCTCTGTTCTACCAATGTTAGACAGCTCACCCCATGCTCAGCACTGAGCTTTCCTGAGCAAAGCCTCTGCAAAAGGCAAAGCTCCAAACAGACAGGTAAGCCTGGCTCCACAAAACGCTGTTCCCTCCATATAAAAGCTCATCTTACAACTATAAGCTGTGAGCTATGAAGTGCTATTAGCTCTGTGAAAGCCTGAGTTGACTGATCTCCTTTTTCTCATGATTTAATTCATAAAAGTAGTAATAATGAAGTCTTGCTATTTCGTTAGTATTTCATTTCGTTTTTCTTTTGTTAGTGTGCTTACCTGTGCCTGGTAAACAAGAAAACACACCAATTTCAGCAAGGTAGAACCCTTATGCTGAACAAACAGCTTAGTAAGCATTCAGATTTTAGTTCCAACATTGTATCCCATGATAGGAGGGGAATGGTATTAAATTACTTGCTATTCATTTGCTTGTATCATATTAACTTCTACAGATCAGTCCAAAATGCCAGAAAGACTGCTGGGTTATTCAGGCAGCGTACTCCACAGCAGAAGCTAATGTTTTTGTCAGTCTCTAACTCAATTTTATGTTGGTTTATTTCAAGAAGCTTGCAGGCAACTTGCCCACTCTATTTTTGTTACCTGCCTTCCCAGCTCTTTGCTTCCTACGCTCATTTCGCCTGGCTTTTAACTCTCACATGCTTCAGGGCCCATTGTTTCTGAAGGGCTATAATACATTCCTGGTGCCCAGAAGAAAAGCAGTGTGTTATGTTCTTCAAAGCTCTCCAGCAGGACAACTGAAGTATTTGTCAAACATTGGAAAGAAGTTGCATTTTGTTCCACTCGAGTTAACTAAAACTGACAGTTTCTCTCCCTGGACAGAGTTATTCTCTACAGAGAAGACATTCAGATACAAATCTTAAGATGCAGGAAGCAGTAACACAAACACTTCTGGTCTTTGGTTTACTGTGAACACTTACCTCATTCAGAGAGCTGGAAGCCTCACTGAGTAGAGATGGCTCGGAACAGAAGTGACTGGCAGCAGCACTGCAGTGTCCTCTGCTCATGCCTGTACCACCATCAGAAGTGTTTTTTGACTTCAGCAAAATATCAGCTCTGGGATGCCATTTGCCCAAGGGTTCCTTGAAGCCCTCAAACTCCCCCCAGGAACCGCTGGGCGTTGAGGTACAGCAGCTCTCACCAGACCCCTCACAGCTCCGCCTGTCGCTCTTCAGTACCGGGAGGCTCTGCCGCGATACCTCGAGGTGAGTAATTCCTTCATTATCTGTCCCTGCGTTTGAGTTCCAGCCATTCTCACCGCCAGACATTCCGCCCACCTCCAGCTCTGTCACACGCACCCGGCGCGATGCGTCTGTGCTACTGCGACTTCCCGACTGCAACAGGTTCTGCATCGTGCTTGGAAAACCACCCCCGCTCAGGCATCGTTTGGTGAAATCTGTGCTGAGAAACAAAACAAAACAAAACCAGCAGTTAAGTTCGATTGCATTGGAACTCTGAACGTTTCTAAAACACGACCAAATTCTTCATGTTACCTCTTAAGTGTCCCCTAAATCACAGCAGGACATCCTTAAGCCTCTCCTGCAGCACTGGCATGCGTGTGTTGTTCAGTCTCAGTCCTGTGCAAGCTGTTGGCCTGCAAGGAAAAAAATAGCAAATAAATACTTCTGTGATTAGGGCTGCGTAGGAATGACCACCACAAGCCGATAAGGCAGCAGAAAGAATGCTCAGGTTAAAAAAAAGCACATTCCAGCCCTGCACAGCAGTTTGGAGTAAATTTTTGATAGCACAAAAAAAGCATTATGGTAGCAGCAATATTTCAGGAAGTGTTAAACAGAATTTGTTGGATGTTCAGGGAGTGCTGGAGTGGGTGCAGGAGTCACAAAGAACACCTCCTAGGCACTACCCAGCCCTGTAGTTCTGCCACCCAGCTGGTGCTGGCTGCAAACAGAGCTCTTTTTGTCTGCGTGGGCTTTCCAGGTCCCAAAGATTACCCAAGAGGCAAATGTGACCTGCGGCACCACAGGCACCGGCAGCTCAGTTCTGTGAAAAGCAACAGCACTCCAACTATTTAAGCAATTAAGGCTGATTTAAGAAGATTGATTTAACATCTGTGAGTTACGCACACAATGCTGCATTTATTGCTTTGGGTAGATCGCATCTCCTCCGGCACCCTTCCATTGCTAAGCTGCAGTGAAGAGATGCAGTCACTATTAGATGTTAGATGGTCCTCAGATGGAAAAATAACAGAGGTTTTTCCCAAGTTTACCCCAACACAAGGCACAAATGACCAGCCCCAGATGCAAATGGACCAGGCTATGGGGCAATGTAATTCTGGAGATCCAGGGTTACGTGAGGGGCTGAGCTGGCTGGCAGGGACCTGCCCAACTTCCTCCTTCCTGTCCAAACTATCCTCCATGTCCACTCTGAGCTCTCCTCCTTCCTCAGCTCCCTGCAGTCGTCCCAAGCACAGTTGCCTTGAGAAATCCCCATTACTCCTTATTGTAATATAAGGAAGAAATGTTTCACCCAGAGAGCTCTGAGGCCCTGGCACAGGCTGCCCAATGAGCTGCAGGTACCCTGGATGTGCC